TGACCATATATGTATGAGATGTTGTCATACACGTAGTTTAGTGTAATGTTGTATGGCATGCTAATTTTGGCAAGAAATATCCTAGAAAGCAAAATTAACTTGGTGGAAAAACTGAGGAAGCAACTCACTAAAGTGATTTTTAGTACAACTGAATGCTGAAAGCGATGACATTTTAAAGTGGTCGTTTAACAACATTAAACATGAATAGATTTTGATAGGGTGAGTGATATGAATATTATCATATCAGATAGTTTTTAGAAATAGGGAAACAGTTTTTGTACCAAGCTGTAAGAAAATAAGTTAGGTGTTTGGATTGACTCCTTTTAGCTTCTTTTTCATTGCTACTTGGCATCAGCTAAGCAAACTTTTGCAAAAGTAACTTCTTGGCTGTAAATAATTGGATCTATATTACAGTATATGTAAAATGTTGTTTAGATTAGGGCTGATGAGGAATATTTCTTGCTTACACGATCTGTGTATACAGAATAAAGCTTATTAAATAGTATTATAGTATCAAGTCTGTATGCTAAGCAAAGCTAATCATAGCTAACTAGCTAAGCTAGTTCTAGCTTCATATTTAGAGTGCAAACTTAAAAGTGATATCAATATTTTAATTTTAATTCTATTCCTTTAAAAGTAAAACGCCAAAAGAAGGAAGATTGTTATGAATCATATTACGGTATTTGCAATCACATAAATCACCGGGCCACTCAAAATGCAACAAACGACACTTCATAGGCTGCCATTGAGAGACAAAAATAATGAAGAAAACAAAACTTGACACAGGTTTCAGTCTTCTTTCTCTTCTGTTTTGTCCTGTTTGTTGTACCTGGTCTCATTCCCTCTTCTTTTTACCTTCTCTGTCTCCTCAGTCCCGATTTGTCATAGCGAACAGCCGCCTCTCTCTGAGCCTGGTTCTGCAGATGGCTGCTTAATGTTAAAGGGGAGTTCTTCCTTCCCACCATCGTGATCACCTGATATGTTGGGCGTATCTCTCGAATATTGTAGGCTTGTTTCCTTACAGTGCAGTAAAAATCACTTTGCGACAGCGGTTGTAGAGAACTGGTCCCATGATAATAAAACATAATTGACTGTAATGTGATTTATACACAGGTCTATAAAGCCAAGTTTATGTAAGTGCTTATCACCTTTCTAAATAAACTTCCGGTATTTTTCTTTAGAGGTGTTTTCAGACTCTCTCACCCCCTGCTGTGAAGCAGACAGGCCTAGCAGATGGATGATGTTACCACCTAAACCTTAAAACAGTCAGTATGGCCCCCAAAAGAAACATTTGTTGGTCCCAGAGACAATTAAACGTCTGTGCCCGCGTCTGCTCGCAGCAAAGAGTGTGAGGAAACGCTTTAAAAAGGTGTGACACAACGCCTGTAGGGAGTCTGACTGTTGTATATGTATGTGTGTGTGTGTGTGTGTGTGTGGAGTAGGGAACCTCTCACATGCATACTGAGTTACAGAGTCTAAACGTCTTTGATGTGTGTTTGCTGCAATTTGTTGTTCTCCAGCTGTGAGACTTCTTTACACACTTGGGGAGACAGACAAACACATGAGTGCAAAGACAGAGACGGGATGGGGACCAGCACAGAGGACCTTACAGGACTGAGGCTACGTCCACACTAGCCTGGATAGATTTGAAAACGGTGTTTTCACAGAGTTGTGCATCCACATTGAAACGGCTGAAAACGCTTACGTTCCAGTACTGCGCATGCGTGAAACGCAGGGAGATTCAACCTGCCTCATTTCTGTCTGCTGTTTATTTACTTTCCGGTTCTTTGAAACATCACGGCAAAGTGTTGAGGAAAAGTTTGTTAAATGGACTAACAATGAGGTGGAGTTCCTGCTGTGAGTAACACAAAAGTACAAAGTTGCAAAAGCGAGTGAGAGTTAAAGAATTTGAAGAAAAGCTATCTGAAGCATGTACAAACTGATATTAATCTTTAATATTGCTGTCAAAATTGAGAGTAAACAAAACAACTGCTGTACAATGCCCTCCGCTATCTTAGTTTAATTGGTCACATGACTGCATCATATGACTAATGTGCATCATCGTTTTCTAAAGTCTCCCTTTTCGCTGTCCACACTGCATTTGAAGCACCGTCTTCAAATGTATGCGTTTTCGAGAGCGTTTTCAAAACGCTGCGTTTTCCTCTGTCTCAGTGTAGACGGGAGGCCAAAAGTGAGAGAAAACGATGCGTTTTCAAACGAAAACGCATCAGTGTGGACGTAGCCTGAGTCCAGCATTTTGTGAATGGATTTATTTGTTGTGAAAATGAGAACATCATCTATATCCCCCCCCCCTCATGTCCATCACCACACTCTATCTCTACAGGCTGGAACAGGCTGTTGTTTGCTCGAACACTTGGGAAGGATTAAATATTCTCAGCTACTTTCAGTTGCTCCCCAAAATTGTGTTTTAACTTCTTTTATCTGTGTTTTCAGTGCTGATGCAATCCTTTTTTCTGATTAGCAACACTTATAGTTCAGGAGTAAATCACATCGACTTGAGGGGTTATTAGGTTTCATAGGGTTGTAGTTTACAACAATATTTCAGTGGATAGTACCTATCAAAGTAACATCCACATGGATGTCAGGCCCAAGCTTTCCTAGCGCTCACCTTATCGTAAAGACATGATCAGCGTTACTCACCTTACCTGTCACTGTTTTTAATGTTGTGGCTGATTGGTGTATGTTACATGTAGACAGAGAAAAAACAAACAAACTTCCTTTTGCTTTTCTCATCTTAACCCTACATTTTAGTGCTCCTTTTGCTTCTCGCTGTGTCCTTCATTTCTCCTCCTCCTGCTCCCAAGAAAGCGGCAACAAAAACAGGAGAGAATAGTACAGACATCTAGTTGGAGTATCAGAATCCCCCCCCGCCCCCCCCAAAAAAAAAAAATCACGTCATGTTGCTCCAGCGTCTTCTCCTCCTTCCCTGAAGACAGAAAGCAGAAAAACACAAGCCCCCCTCCTCACTAACTGCGCAGAGCCCAGAGGCTCCGAAATCCCTCCCGCCCACAAACAGCAAGAGCATTTAAAGATGTTGATGTAAACAAGGTGGGGGACACACACATGCATTCACATGAGATTAATATAGGTGGAGGAATGTGTGGGTGTGTGTGTGTGTGTGTGTGTGTGTGTGTGTGTGTGTGTGCCCTCCATGGCCCCTGGCTCACATTGTAGCTGGTCTCTGGTTTGCATGTTGTAAAGTCATCCTGAAAGATGTTCAGACACACAGGAAGACAGCTGTGGAGATCAACATCTGGGCTGGGGGCTGAGAGTATGAGGTGTGTGTATATCTGTTGCTTTCTTTTTATGTGTGAGTCTACGGATAATTGGATTTTGTCCCAAAGGAAAACAACATTCACAGTGTTTCCTTCATTCACTAAATCTGTGTTTGTTCAACTGTGGTTGAGCAGTGGGCTTGGCCTCCCCCATACGTGTAGGAGATAAGTTCTTCAAGTCACAGTCTCCCGTGTAAATGGAATTCCCTCATTCGTCAGTCCATGCAGACTCAATTCATTTAATTCAGCTTAGTTTGTGTAAAGTGAGATGAGATGAGATGAGATTAAGTAGTCGTTTTGGTGACCGCAAGGCGTGGGGGGTGTGAAAGGTGAGAAGTCTAAACATGGGACCCAGCAGATGAGAGAAGAAGAGCAGGCTACACAGGGAGGAGGAGAGGGTCGGTGCGAGGAGAGGTGTGAAGTTTAAACATGAGGAGTAAGTGTAAAAATAATGAATAATCTGAGGGAGGTTAAGCTGAGCAGGACACACTGGAGGTGATTTTATAGATGTGTAAAAACTGGATTCATACTACGTTAATCAGAAAAACATAAATATGTAGTGTAGTTTGCTTCCAGTGAGCCAGACTTTCTTATTTTATTTTTATTTTTTGGGTTAAGTAACTTAACCTGCGAATAGTTCAAGCATAAAAAAGGGAAAGGGGAAAACAAGGCTCAAGCGATGAACTGAATTAAACTGTACTTTAGGTACTTTCTTATTAGTAGCCTTTCACAAAAACTTGTGTTTCCATTCATTTAGTTCAATCGATGAAAGACTGCAAATATAGAACAGTCTCACAGGCATACAATACAATAGAATACAACAGTGAAGTTTATAACCATCTGTAAACACGTTGGAGGTTTTGTCATGGTTAGGAGCTGCATGTCAGCCAATGGCGTTGGGGACCTTGTCATATCTGTTTATGTTCCAGATTTGATCCACCTGGAAAGTGTTTGATTGACACCACACAAGCCCCTTTTCCATTAGTAGCTACTCAGATCGGTTCGACATGGATCGACTGGTTTTCCATTACAATATAGTACCTCTTGATGGACGTGGTTGTCGTCATAGCAACGCGTCTGAGCGTCCCACAATGTAATCAATATGCAACACAAAACATATAAAAGTGGACTTCGAGGCAAGATTATACCTGCTGCTCGAGGGAACACGGCGTTGTTCGGCCTTGTTGCGAGGTTTCAAAAATGTGGTTTTGATTTTCCTGAACGACACGCTCTCATGACTCATGGAATGACGCCACTGACTAGCCAATCGGTGGCAT